GAAAGCCTGGGAGCTTTTAGTCACTTATTTTCTGCCTCAGGAGGACTGACTCCGTGTTGAGGCCTTTCTGGCCTCTGGAACCCAGAGGGACCGCGCAGAGTGTCACTTGCTTTCAGCGTTCTGTGTTGGTTTCTATATACACACACATACGTAGGTGTGTCTTAATTCTAATTTTCTTGTTACTGAATAGTAGAAGTAGTCCCCTGTGTTACTAAATCTTCTTTTTTAAAGAAATTGAGGCCTAACTGACATATAACATTTTATTAGTTTCAGGTGTATGACATGGTTTGATATTTGTATATGTTCAGAGTGATCACTATAGCAATTGTAGTTAACATCCAGTTACACATTTTTTTTGTTGTTGTTGTGAGAACTTTTACAATCTACTTCTTTCACAACTTTCAAGTATATAGAATATTATTGCTTTTTCAGCATCAACAAGTGGGTGAAAATCTGAATTATCATTAAGAATCCTTTCATGACCCTGTTCCTCTGACCTGTACCCCTGTTCTGTATTCATAAATACATCTTAAAAACAATTCTGAAAAATACCATTTATTGGCCCTCCCTGGTGGCGCAGCGGGTTAAAGCACAGCACTAAGAAGCTTAAGTCAATTCCACATGAGTTTGATCCCCGCCTGCCCTGGAGGAGATCCACATGGCGAGGCAGACCTCTCCCGCTGCTCCCCTCAAAAGTGTACTTCATCGATCTGCCTGTTTTGCTCCCCACTCTGTCCGTGGTGAATCCTCTCACTCTCTGCATCTCTGACCTGTACCCCAGTTCTGTATGAATAAATAAATAAATCTTTTTTAAAAATACCATTTATTTATTTGTAAGAAAATATTTTCTTTCCATATTTTTATTGTCTGCTTATGTTTGGGTTTTTTTCTCTGATTGCCCCTAGGAAATTTTTATCCATTTTAGTGCATGAGACGTGAATCAGGGCATAATTCTTACTGACGTAAGGTTTCATTTCTTTTATATGAAGTATATACTGATCGTTTGTTATACTTGCTACAATTTTTTTTCAGGCTGTAACTTGTCTTTAATGTTCCAGAAATTAATTTTTATAGTCAAATTTCTTATATTTTATTTGATTGTTCCTGTGCTTATTTAATATTTTTCTAACTCAATTTTGATCTACGTTTTCTTTCATTTTATAGTTTAAGTTTTCATCTATAATACTTAACTGTCTAAATTTTAATTTTGCAGTATGACATATAAAATCAAGATCTCATTTTTTTCTAACAGGGAAGTTCCCTCTGATTACACATTCAGAATGTTCTTAGCTATTTGTATTGTTTATTGCTGCCTAATAAATGATCCCAAAGCACAGCAGTGTTTAATAATAAACATTTATTATTTTTCAACTTCTGTGGGCTAGGAATTTGGGAGTAGGTTAGGTTAGTTGGTGGTTCTGGCTCAAGATAGCTCATGAGGTTATAGTTAAGAATTCAGCTGGAGCTACTGCTAACCTAAGTCTTGCCTGGCACTGGGGGAGCTGCCTTGAGGTCGGCCCTCCACATGGCTGTTGGCAGAAGGACTCAGCTCCTGGACGGCTACTACAGGTGGCCATAATTCCTCACATACAGATTCTTCCATGGTATATTTGAGTGTCCTGACAGAGTGCAGCAGGCTTCTCCCAGACCAAGTGATCTGAGAAAGAACATGGCCAAAGTGACAGTGCCTTTTATGACCTAAGCTTGGAAGTGACACTCATCACTTCTACCATCCTCTAGAGCAAATTTGATATGACACAGGATCAGAAGGAATAATTCCAGGAATGTCAAGGGGCAGGGGGCAAGTCACTAGGGGCCCCTTGGAGGTAGGTCACCACATTCTTCTAGGAGAGGAAGTTTAGGCTCAACGTATCATTCTGCAGACGCCTTTCTATCCGACAGCATTTTCTCATGGACATCCTCATGATTGAGGGGGTGTTTGGATGTTTCATTTTCCTTTTCTTTTCTGTCTTATGACCATGTCTAATTCTTAGATTTGTAATCAAGGAAATCTTGTCACTGGAGCTGTGCTCTTACTGCTCTTATAAGTATCTTGGGAACTTTTTTTTTTAATTTTTTTTTTTAAGATATTTATGCATACAGAACTGGGGTACAGGCCAGAGATGCGGAGGGTGAGAGGCTTCACCAGAGACAGAGCGGGGAGCAGAACAGGCAGATCGACGAAGTACACTGCTGAGGGGAGCAGCGGGCGGGTCAGGAGAGGTCTGCCGTGCCATGTGGTCACCGCCGGGGCAGGCGGGAGTTGAACTCATGCGGAAGCCGTCTTAGATTCTCAGTGCTGTGCTTTAACCCGCTGCACCACCAGGGAGGGCCTATCTTGGGAACTTTTTAACACTGCTATATTTCCACTCACTCTTGTAGTATTTACTGACTATTAATTTTTTTAAAGATTTATTTATTTATTCATACAGAACTGGGGTACAGGCCAGAGGCTCAGGGGTGGTGAGAGGCTTCACCAGAGACAGAGTGGGGAGCAGAAGAGGCAGATCGACGAAGTACACTGCTGAGGGGAGCAGCGGGCGGGTCAGGAGAGGTCTGCCACGCCTTGTGGTCGCCTCCGGGGCAGGGGGGAATCGAACTCATGCGGAAGTGGCTTCAGCTTCTTAGTGCTGTGCTTTAACCCGCTGCGCCACCAGGGAGGGCCACTGACTATTAATTTGATAAAGAAATATTACTTGCCAAGAAATAGAACTTAAAGTCATTTATGCATACATGCATTGCATATATACATGTATATACAGATACATGTACTCATACATATGGACCCACAGATACATATCCTTGGAAGCTTAGGGAAGAGCCCTCAGACTTTTGGGCAGAAAGGCTTAGAGACCTAGGAAGTTAGTGAGACTCAGTCTTCCTACTTACTCCCTGCTTGACTCACTCTACATTGTGAGGTGTGTGTGTGTGTATGTGTTGGAGTGTGTCCTGAACAGAGAGGAATTACTCAGTCATTCTCAGGCTCTTGCTTGCTTGCATCCATTTTCATCCCTATAGTGTGACGATGTCCCTTCCCAGTCACCTTGGACCTAGAGCACATGTTGGTGAGGGGGTGATCACAGACCCCAGCCGCTGACTTGTTTGTGGATTGTGACCTACAATTCTCTCTACCCTGCACTTTCAGAAAGCAAACCGGCAATCAAACAGTAATTGCTTCCTTCTGTGTGGACTTCTCCTGCCAAAGCCTGCCGTGGCAAGCAGGAAGCTGGCTCTTGGAAGAGCAGAGGACCAGGAGGGAGACATGTAACTGTGGTGTGGTGGCCTCACAGCCCACATTTTCCAAGAGTCCTGATTTCACATTATTTATCCCGTTGGCCTGATAAACAATTCAAATGCCCTAGCAATTCCACTGTGGAAACCACATTTTATGAAGTTTCTTACTGCTGAAAGAAGCACAGAATTTCTTGGTAAAACTGTGCTGTCCTAGATTTGGTTTGAAAATTTATCTCTGTCATTATGCAAGGAGGATTTTTTTCCCTTTTAACTGGTGTGGTTTGGGAAGGCAAAACAATCCTATTTGGGGCATGTACAATTAGTAAGAGCTGACCCAAGGTGCCAGCTCTCTGCGGAAATCCAAGCACTCTCCCTCTGCCCTCACCCAAGCAGAGTTTGAGTCTTCTGGGCAGAGGTCACAATGCTGGGCACTCAGCTGTGGTGGTGATGCTGCCCTTGGAGACTTCCCAGCCCCTGATGGGGAGATGAGACATGAATATACATTGGAATTAACACAGGTCGGAAGTGTGACTACATCAGGGGATGTTGCATGAGCAATGCCACAAGGAAAGACAATAATGCCCAACACATAGTCTTATTGTGATTGTGAGAAATTCCCTTATTCTTTTGGGAAACAAACTTCATTTCTTTGTGTTTGGCAATACTAAAATATTATGCCAAAGACTTTTCATTGGTTCTCAGATTCTTTTTAATTACAAGAAAACTAAGGCAGAAAAACAACAACAAAGAAAAGAAACAGGAGTGGTGGGACAGGCTGGATGTCCTTAAGGGCAAGATCCTGGCCTTTTTATTGATCGGGAAAAGGGTGGGTCAAATTGAATACTGGATTTTGGGGCTTTAGAGAGAGCGAGTTCCCTGATCTACTCCAATCCCCACCCAAAGCTCAATCTTGTTAACAAGGTGTTGCACTGACCAATCTCTGGGGCGCAAAGCAATTCAGTCAGTGTTCTCCCAGGTTCTCCCAGTCATACCTGAGGACATGTGTCTACTGCCCAGGGCAACCTAGCATCCTAGAGCATCTAGCATGCTCTTGTCTGACCTGTAAGGAGCTTCTTATACTACACCCACAAGTGGGTATAGACATCTCCAGAATCTATAAAGATCCCAATTCACTAGTCCTCCCAGAAAGAGTGTAGTAATTGTCCTTTTCCCAAACAATGTCAGTGGTTGGCTCCTCTGGGTTGGAAGACCTGAGACAGGCTCACTGTCTCCAGCATGTCACCAAGCTTTGTAATGTGGTGCTGTGCGTATGAAGATCGGAAGCATGGACGCTGTCAGGCCTCTTACAGCCCAGGCCTGGAGCTGGCACACAGTATCTCCACTGCTCTCTGTGGACCCCAGCCAGGCACTAGGCCAGGCCTGAGTCAGTAATCACCTTGTGATTAGGGGAGTGGAAGGTGAGGAACCTTGCTGGCCATCTCTGTAGCCCACCACGTTAACATAAACATTTAGTTACCACGTCAACTCAAAACTTAAAATCAAACAAATTTTAATTGAAAAATTGAAGAGTGGTATCTCATTGCTGTAACCAGCTTGCTTTCGGTTGCTGGTGAGGACTGGCTATCATTTCTTAGTTTTCTAAGTGTGTGAGTTTCCCCCGGGCATCGTCTCCACCTGGTGGGTTTCTTTCTCTTATGCTCAATGCAAGATTCAAGGTGTTCCCCCCCCCACCCCACACACACACCAGTTCCTTGAAAATGGATGCCACCCTTTTAAATACAGTTCCTGCTTCTCTGTTGTTCCAGGCACAAAAACAGGTGCAGATATTGGTGATGGTACCTGTGAGCCTGGATTGGCTTCCCCAGCTTCCTGCATGAACTCCTTCCCCGTGCTCCATCTTGTTGAGGACTTGAGGCTGGCCCTGGAGACACTGGAGCACCCTCAGGAGAGAGCAGCCCTCCTGAGCCAGATTCCAGGCCCCACAGTTGCCTACATAAAGGAGTGGTTCCAGGAGATCTCGGTGAGTAGGCCCATGCCTTTTGGGGGAGCACCTGGGGAACATAACCATGGAGCCCAAGGATGCCACCACTGCCTGGGGCCAGTACCTCCACTGTGTTCCTTCTCGCCTAATTTTGGTAGGGTAGGCCCTTCCCAGTGGGAGGCTAAAGCCCTGTCAAGCAACGTCAGTTACACAATCAACCTGCTTGGGTGCCCCAATGGTCCTCTCCCGAGGACCAATCTAGAGCCTGAAAAGAGCAAATGTGGACAGTTTCCCCCCAGGGATAACATGTACAGCTTGCTGAGTTATAATTCCTACGTGGCTTCTCACCTCTGTTGCACACTTCGCCCCTATTTCTTACAAGAAACCACAACATCATCACCTCATCTATTCCTTGACTGTTGCCCCTAGTCTCCAGCAGTTCCTCTATCCCTCACTCTAGAAATACTTGCTGTCTCTGGAGTGCCCACAGCTTCCTAACTCTTACTGTGTTCTCTCTAAGGAAGCAGATGAATAAACAAACCTATAAATCTGTGACTTTGGTTACCCATTTCCTTTCTTGTGGAGACCAGCTGGTCACGTTTAAGACACTAGCAGTGTCTGAGAATGAGTAGACAAAGAACTAGTTCATGGAGGAAGGCTCTGGAATGCAGCCACTGGAGGGCTGAGGGTAGCTGAGGAAGCAGAAGGTAACTATACTCACCCAAGCGGAGCCGGAGAGCCAGGGTGCCGTCTTCCAAAGCTACAGACCTGCAGACTAGGCTCAGAATTGGGAAGCATGTGCAGAGGTGAGGAGGCAGGAGCAGGACCACTAAATTAGAATGTGGGTGTAGGTTGGAAACCACAGAGCAAGGAGGTTCAGACATCTTTGTTCAGAGCCTAAGCCATTTGTGGTTTGGGGTTACCTCTCAGATGTCCTTGCTTGCTTTCTGCTCAGGAGCCTGTCGGGGTAGTCTCATGCCATGCCTTCCTCTAAACACTGAAGAACTCGACATTATATTCATTTGATGTTATTCAGTATTTTCATGATGTCGGCTGTCCGCCTGGTGTTATATAGTCTACCTGTACTGGTGTGGTGGGGTGAATACTGTTCTCCCAGAGAGGCCACATACCACTTGCTGTGGCTATATCCAGCACCTGTGACTATGTTATCTTACACGGCAAGGGGGAAGGCAGCAGAGGGAGCTGAGGCAGCTTGTCAGCTGAGTTTGAGAGGAGTGACCCAGCTAGACCCAGTGTAATCAGTGGGGTCCCTACAAATAGACCCAGTGTAATCGGTGGGGTCCCTACAAATAGACCCATGTAATCGGTGGGGTCCCTACAAATGGAAGGAGGAGGAGGAGGCAGAAGAGTCAGTGTCAGGATGACGTGAGAGAGGACTCCTTTTTAGACTCTAGTCATTATTTATTTTTATTGTTTTTTTTTTTAATTGAGGTGACAGTGGTCAACAATATTGTATAAGATTTTGGGGTATAGGTTCACACCTCTTGAGATGCATGCCCAACACCATGCCGCCGCCACATACCCATGGCCCCCTCAGTGGTCCTCTGGGGCCTTTCCCCCCACCCTTCCTGTAGCTTGAGTTTGGTTTGGTTTTTATTTTGTTTTGTTTTGTTTCATTTTGTTTCTCTCTAGTCCACATATGACTAAAATTATCCAGTTTTTGTCTTTCTCCTTTTGATTTATTTTACGTAGCTTTAACAGCCTCCAGTCCCGTCCACACTATCCCAGATGACAAAATTTCCTTTTTTCTTCCAGCTGAGGAATATTTCATTGTGTATATTGATCACGTCTTCTGTCTCACTCATCTGTCTTTGGGTGTTAGTTATTTCCATTGCTTGACTACTATGAACAGTGTGGTAATCAACACAGGCATGCATCTTTCACTCAGATTAATGTTCTTGTGTCCTTAGGGTAGATACCGGGGAAAGGGGATTCTGGGTCCCCTAAATAAGATAGATCTTATTTTTGCATCTTTGAAAGGGGCAAGGAGCCAAGGGGTGCAGGCAGCTGCCAGAATCTCTCCTGGAGCCCCAGAGAGGAAGGCAGCCCTGCTGGCTCCTTCTTTTGGCCCAGGGAGACCCATTTCAGATTTCCAATTTCTAGAATCATAAGATAACACATTGGCATTAAATCTATTGTTACACTGACCATAAAAAAATACTACAACCAGATACTACCTGGGTGGAGGAGGGGGAGGGGGGTTGGGGGCAGCTGAATGGGCCTCAGTTAGTCTTGTTGCAGTTCAGGTGTGCAAACCTGCTGTTCATCTCTTCCCCCCGAATGCGGCTGTATTTGCTGGGTCTCTCAGATTTCTGGTGCTAAGCAACAGGAGTCCCCTTGTTGTGCAGTTGGTGCTCTCAATGAGGCTGGGAGGTGGGTGTCAGGGTTGGGGTGTATCTTTAGCACTCTTTCCATCCCACAACAGAAAGGGTCATTCCTTTTTGCCTCCCTAGAGTCCACTGGGAGCTCTCTGGCTATTACTGTTCTTGGGACTTCAGGATGCTGGTCCAGTCATCTCCTCTCTTGCTCACCACTGACAGCTATGGCTCTTTATTCTCCATGACACTGACTTTCCCATTGCATGACTGACTTGGGATATAGGAAAGGAAATTACTGACACTCTAAGAACATGGCAAGCCTGTAGTTTCTCATTCTAAGGCCACTGGCTCCAAAGTTTTGGAACTCAGAGGGACTAGACTCTAGACAGATCAGAGTGGACCTTTGTTTTACACTCCCCGTCTCTAGACTTACAGGGTGAGAAGAACATTGACATTGCCTCAGTAGAACTTAGGAATTTCCCCATGAAGTGAGATCAGAAGAAACTGTAAGTTTCCTTCCAGTTCAGGCCAGGTTTTCTATTGTAAGTTTTGCCCCAATATTATTATTGTTTAAAGACAACAAAAATGTCCAGGCTTTCAGAACATTTTGGGTTTCAGAATTGCAGGAACAGTGAGCCTATATGATATTCCACTGCAGAACACAAAACTGAAAACCAAGTGTTGGATGGCCCCACTCCTTTGTCTGCCGCTGCCATCCGCCTCTGTGAGAATCAGCATTGACTGTCTCTGGCCTTGGATTGTTACCATGTACCTGGCCACCTTGGCAACTCCCAGAAGACCCTCTTCTACTGCTTCCTGAACCTTCCATTAAGCTACCAGGCAGCTTAGCACTTTCTTATTAATATGTGTCCTCTCATAACCTTATTACAAAATCGAGAGATTCATTGAAGTATCTTCCCAACAAACAACCAATCTACCCCTCCAGGGCTGGTTTTTCTTCTCCTTTGTATAGTTTATAATGACTGTGTTCCTTCCTGGATGTACCTGAACTTATGAGCCTGTCTCAACTTCGGACATTTACATTATTTTTTATCTTTCAGAAAAATGTGTCCTAATATTTCCTTAATATAAAATCTTAAAATTAGAATTAAACAGTTAAAAAGTTGTTGACAGACAAAATACAGGGTGCTCAGTTAAATTTGTATTTTAGATAAGCAATGAGTAATTTTTTTAATAAGCTTGTCCCATGAAGTTTGCTAAATCTGGCACTTCTAACCTAAAGGTAAAATTAACAAACCATTAATTTATTCATTTATATTGCTAGATTACTACAACTAAACTAAATCAATAAATTTATTAACAAATATGATTACTATTGTTAACAACTATAATTAGTATTTATTAATATTAATAAACCTTTGACACATTTTTTTCCCATTTTACTCATTTTATATTTTCATTGGCAGGGCTTGTGTTGCATCCTAATCAACAAACACACAACTTCAAAGGGAAAATGATTTCTTTTTCCTTTTTTTGCATTCTTTTGTTTGCTAAGAAGGCTAAACATTTTTGTTTTCATTAGCTGCTCAGATTTTCTTTTCTCTATGATTTGAAACTTCTGATCTCATTCATCTACATTCTGGATATGTCCCTACCCACTTTTGCAGTATTTTCCTAAGATATATATATAAACTAAGAAACATAGCCCACAATAGAGATCTTTAAAAAACTAGGTTAAAAGTTCTTATATTTTCTCTCTCCCTTGCCTCCAAATTCCCTTGCGTTCCTTGGGAGTGCCCCCCTCGCCCTGTCTATTTATACTCTATGACTTTTTCTATTAGGATGTCAATGCTTTTCTAACATATGTAAATGATATTTTAGACTTTTGCCGTATTTTCAGCATTGATTTTTCCATACTTTGTTTTTAGGTAATGTTTGCAGAGCCTTTTGAGGCACAATTTAAAAGGATTGTAATTAACTCCCTCAGTCTTTCTTCTTTTTCCTTTCTCTCTATAAAAGCCTACCTCAGATCAAATAATATTCACTTGTATCTCTATGGTTTGATTTTTACCCCATGGTTGACTCTAATTTATCTGCAGTATTTTTTTAGTGTGTGGGCCTAAAACTTCGATGATTTACAAGAAAACACTTCCAAAATACTTGTGACCTAAAGACAGTAAATGTGGGTATTTAAGATGCAGTGTGGAAACCGCTCACTCTCAGATTTACAGATCTTTGGGGGGCTACCTCCAGTGGTTGGGGGAATGCTTTCTTTGGAGAGAAGCTGAAAGTTGTTTTATCCATAAATCTTTTAGAGTAATTATGGCCACCAGCCATCTATGAATGGTGTACATTTAGGAGGTCAAGAGTTCATACAAACATTCCAAGACAGCAAGCCTGAATGTCAGGGTTTTGCTTTTGGACAGAGAGAGTTTATCTGTATTTTGGTCTTGCAGATCTGAAGTCATTTTACAGTTTGGGTGCACACATATCTGTAGTAGGGCTTTATCGCTATGGAAATAGAATGTAAACCATAGGTACATTTTAGATCAGTTTGAGACTGTTTCAGTCTAGCACTTTAGTAAGAAGCCCTGGCCTCCCTGGCCTCTCCACTCGTGGCTGGCGGGGCACAGCTTTGTCCCCTTCGCCCCCCACGGTAGCTCATGAAAAGCCATGCAGAATAGGGGCCCTCTCCCTCTCTATCCAGCAGAGCTACTCCAGGTGGCTCACACACACACT